AAGTCATAAATGCCACAAGTGGTCATAGAGGAATATTTTTTTCCATAAAATGAGAGGCATGCATTTTGAAGCGCGCAATTGAAAAGGGCTCCTCTTGCTTCAGAGAAGATCCTGGACCTAGGATGTGGGGCCCCTATTGGGCAGCTATTGTAGTGCTCACAATTTTCATTGTTATATTTTGTTCATTCTGAAAAATAAATTATCTATCTATCTATCCCTACTTATATACGTCTTACGGTTGTCCATTCTTAACCGATACTTCCAAAGTTTCGATACTTTTGTTCGATACTCAACAATATCGATACCATGTGGTATTGTTCCTCAGACCCCAATATCAATGATATCGATAAGTACTTCATCTGATATGGCCATGAAGAGGGCCTCTTTTTCTGTCTTAATGACCTCTCTCCCTTCTGTTCCACCTTCACTAGGCACTGTGACAAACGGAGTAATCAGGTTTTTCAAGATGATTATTCTAGTTAACAGTGTTAAAAGGTCGGTTTGATAACCGCAGTACAGGGCTTATAATCGTTGACTAAGCATGGGAATAAGGACAGTTTTGAGAGAGGCATAAATCTGGCAGAATTAAATGGCCGACTGACATCCCTGGTAAAAATGGCAAGTGTTAGGTCAGTGAATTTTCCACTGAGGTCAGTGCAATTTGCTCTAAGGTCAGTTCAGTTTTCTCTGACGTAAGTGTTAAAGCACTTACCCAAGAAGTCAGCACTGAGGTAAGAGGCACTGACGTCGGGAGAAAGACTTACCTAAGTGCAGAGATGTCTCTGAGGTAAGCGGGACTGAGGTCAGGACTTGGTTCAGAGGGTAATAGTCTCTGACATCAATCTTAATCGAACCGCACTCACTCCCAAAAAGAAGAGATGGCTCCCCCTTCTTCCACCCTATTTCATTTTCGTGGGGGAATATTTCCTCGGGACACGGGGACCACAAACTTTATCTTTCAGAGAGGCATATTTTGTAGAAGGTGGGATTTTCTAAGAGGGAAGGAAAACTAGTTTAAGTAGCCACACTCTTGAATAATTAGTTTTACCCTCTTCGTTTAAGATGGCACTTAAATAATTAAAACACAACAAAAAATGAGATCGATAAAAATATTATCACCGCTAAAATATGTATTTAGATATATTTATTTAAGCATTATTATTTTTTTATAAAAAAAAAATAGTTTTAAATTTGGTTTTAATTTTTTTCAGTTTTAACTGTTTTTAAAATGTTTCAGTCTCAATTTTTTTTAAAATTTTCCTACTTTATTTTCAATTCTTTTCTAACTTTTTTACTCCTTTACTTTCAATTTTTGTGTCTGCTAATTTATATTTTTTGTATAATTTCAACTTTAATTATTTTTTTTGCATCATTAGCTTTAATTTTGAATTTTGGTGCGATCCATTTTTTTTGCAAAGAAACGCAACTTACAAAACTTCATTTACATGTTGATTGATTAAAAAAGAATAATAGAAAAATTAAGTATCGGATTCACATTCAAAGACAAAATCATCATTTGCTGGCAAAATTACCCCAATGGGGGCCCTGAAATGGTAAAATTACGCCCCTAACCTCGAGTTACACGCGCAGGTAGTGTAGTGGTTCAATCGCTAGGACGATCACCGAAGTTAAGTTACGTCGGGCGTAGTTAGTACTTAGATTGGAGACCGCATGGGAACGAGCGATGTCCCCTGAAGATTGTGATACTTGCTTGGGATTGAAAACTCACAGCAGCCCTCCCTGATCGTCAAATAGTGACTTAACGTACCTGGCAGATCGGTAATTAACGAAATTTTTGCCTGTACAGTATTTCTGGGAGTTTCCACTCCGCTTACGTCTGAGACACTTAGGTCAGTGCCACTTACATCAGAGGCACTTGCCTTTGGAACAGACCTAACACTGAGGTAGCAGATCAGCGCCCGGCAGCACTGACATCAGTGCTTAGGTCTGTTCCAAAGGCAAGTGCTACTGATCTGAGCACTTGCCATTTTTACCAGGGATACGCACACTCCTTACAAAGGCAACATTTATAAATAGTATCAATGGTATCGATACCTCAAAAGTATCGATACTTCAGCTCAATGCTTCATACCAGTGTTGATGCTTTGAGTTGATACCAGTATCAATCCCGAGTTTCGACAGTCCTAATACGTGTATAAGGGTAGAGGTGTCGTCACCTAAGTTGACAGTTGTTTACTTTCGGTTTGCAAGCGCCAACAATAAATTTGGGCCTCTGAACAAAGCGGCGTTCGCTACTATCCACATTGAAAACATCAGTCTCATGATCGTATCATAAAAAAACTACTTATCAGTTATGATTTGCAACATTTTTGTGGTTGTGATTTCTGTGTGGATAAAAATTAAAGTGTTACAAGGTTTGAAAGTATTAAAAAACTTATCTAGGCTTGTGTTCTTGCTTCTGAGAGAGCCAGATGTTTTCATGTGGATAGCAGTGGCGCGGAAACGCCTGCAAACCAAAAGTAAACAACCATCAACTTAGCTGATGACACCTCTACACAGAGTCCCTAATTTTACCTTGTCCGTCCAATAAACTGAGGAAAAAGCAAGCTCCAAAGACAGATATTAAAGTACCCTGGTGGGCAGTAAACATAAGTGTAAAGCTTTACACAGAGTAATTTCGATAATTCTTTTTGTTATTTTTCTATTCCGTGTGGTCGTTTCACTTCAAATCCCTAATCCTAAAGATAAAAGAAGAAAAATTGTGCAGATTTTCCTTTAAAAAAACAGGGGAGTTTCAGTTTAAGAGATTCTGTCTTGGTCCCAAAGACTAGGGCTGTCAGAAAATGGCTGATGGCACAAAGCTGACAGTTAGAATGATCATGAAAAAGGTCGAATCTATCCATCATTATTTCCCGAAGAACTTGATCTGCCGTGATTATCCTTTCCCTCCAACATGCTTTCAGAATGACCCGGTTCACAATTTTTCAGGTGTGCGCACTTTCGGCACCAGAAACTTTTTTTTCCCTGAGAACGTGTAAGTACTTTCACACTCTGGGGGACACTTATCTACTTTGTAGCTTTCATTAAAAGCAGAGTACCAATTTGCAAAACTCCCGCATTCTTCTATTAACCTTCAATGGCATCGGGTTATGAATTCAAAACAAAACATACTTTGGGTATTGAAAAATTGATCTCTGTCCTCGGTAGCATGGTTTTGAAAAGTTTCATTAGTTTTTTCTTTTCTTGAATAACTGAATTCTAAATGTTTAAAATTTTGAAATGCAAATTGGTTAGTACTCAGTTTTTAATGAAAGCTAGAAAATAGCCTAGGGTCCCCAAAAATGTGATATCCAAAATTATTTTAACAAACTATAAAGGGTTAGGGGCATGGATTTTACAGACACTTTGTAGAGGGGTTGAAGAATTCGATTAAAAAGCAACCTTGATCAAGCTGTCCACGATGATTGCTCTCTCAAAAGTCATTTCAGGCAACTGGAATTCTGCAGACAAGAGTACCTTAAGCATGTGCAGCACAGACAAGCTACATCTGTACTGCAGCTATGAAATGAACTTTCACCCTGGGGCGGGCTTATGAAAGTACATGGACTAATTTAAGTGCCAGGGAGAAGACTCAATGTAATTACATTGGAGCTGTGTATTTGGTTGAGGTAGCAATTAACGCTTGCAAGCGCAGAAATTATGACCCAACTTCTGAGGCGTTGGGCAACCAAACTTTCCAAAACATCCTAGTAACCATAGACCATACCTAGAATAAGAGGATGGAAAATTTTATAAATTTCATGAATATTGATGACAACTGAAAAAATCCAACACTTAATGGTTATCAATAATGCCAATTGCCAGTGAAAATAAAATCTGATCACAAATTTTCCTTTTTGTTTGAAAAATCTTTGTGGCACTTCACACTGCAACAAACTTGAATTTACTACTCCATGATGTTTTACACATGACATCTACATGATGATGACATCTACATCAATCAGGGCAATCAAGGTTGTCTTTTAAGATAGTGATCAAAAGTTTTTGTGACTGCAAGGAGGAAGGTGTGGAGAAACTGATCATTCTACTAACAAGCTGGGCATATATAAGGCATTACCTAACAACTTCATGAAAAATTTCCTTGGGCAATAAGCACACTCTTTCAATGGCGTCCTCACAGTATGCTAAGTAGTAAAAGTATATTGAGACACCAGTTGCTGCAATGCCTGGTTGAGGGACTTCCAGAAGATGCTGCACGAAGAGAGAAAAGCACAAAATTAGATTATCACAACAGACAACTTAAACTTGCTCACAAAGCGTTCAAAAATTTGTGAGCAGAATTCTCACGAGGTAACTAAAGTTTTAAATGCGAAGACAAAAGTGCAATACGTTTCTAAATGCTTCTACCCTCTTTTTAACCCCCCCCCCACCTAACCTCCCACAAAAGATACTGAAGTGAGTTGGAAAAGCTAAAAATCATAAATTATTACTACAGAGTAACATCAACGAGAACGCGATGGACGATACTGAAAGAAAGC